GGCAGATTGGAGAGGCTGATGAGCTGGTCGATTCGCTCGCGGGACAGTCGAATGTCGGTGTTCATGTCGTGCAGTCGCTTGCTCTCCGCCTTGCGGTAGTGCACCACGTCGATGTGCGTGCGAAAAACCGACTTGATGTTGCGAATCTTCGGGTTGACGCGAATCTGCGTGGAGCGGTAGATGCCCGTGATGGTGATGCGCTCACCCGGCTGCACCTGGTCGACCAGGCTGGAGCAGGCGTAGAGGAGGACGGTGTAGGGCGTCTGACCGGCGGGCATGTCATCCGGCGACTCCTGCAGCTTAATTTGCTGCTTGTCCGTGAACTTGGAGCGATTGTGCACCAGACGGAAGGAGAACTTGGTGTTGCAGTGGCGACACACCTGTGGCTCGTTGATCGAGCCGCGATCCACCTCCACGGTGGTGCTCCAGTTGCAGACGGTGCACTCGAAGAAGGCGACGCACATCTCCGCGATGATGTTCGAGACACGGGTGACCATGCCGGAGATGGTGATCAGCTGGTTGATCTCCTCCGGGTTCAGGCTGCGAATGTTGGACGTCTTCAGCACATTGAACGGGCGAACGCAAACGCGCTCGTTTTCGCGAACGCTCTCCGGGAACAGTTCATTGATCAGCTCATTCAGGGTCATGTCCATGGTTGGAATCACCTCCTGCGGGTAGTGTACCAGCTGACGGTAAAAGTTCTCATTGAACTTGTGAATGTGTTCACAGTTCACGTCAAAGTGCGATTTTCCCAACAGCAAAGTCTCCTTCAGCTTGCCCAGATAATGCGGATTATCGCGACTCTGGTAATCCACGTCAATGTCCATAAAGTCCTGGCTGCTGGGGCGCTCGTCATACTCCAGATTTTGGTTGCTCTCCAACTTGAATGTTTTGATGAACTTCTTGAACAGTTCTCGGCACTTGTTGACCGACACATCAGTGCCCCAGATGACCAGCTGTGGGCCGCTCTGGTTGCCGCTCGACTCACTACCAGGAAGAGCGTTTTCGTTGCCCGCGTCGAGGTTAATCTGGCGGACATTTCGATTGTCCGAGTGAATCTCCGGACGCCAGTTTGGCCCACTGCGATCGACCAGAGCAGAGGGCAGCTGCTGGCTGCTCAACTCGGAGGAGAAGTTGTAGTAAATGGGGGAGCTCATTTGGCTGGCCATGTTTACTTGATGATCTGGCGATGTTGTTGTGGCAGGAGGTAACGGCGGTGAGGTGACCTGGTTGGTGATTGGTGGCGGTGGCGGTAAAACTGGAGGACACTCTGCGGCCAAGATGGCATTTAACAAGTCGCCTTTTAACAGTCGTGCAGCGGAGAAGCGCAGGCAGAACAAGAGTGTGCTGCTTCTGCTGCACAACAAAAGAAGAGGCCGATTTCTGGCGGGAAAACTTGTGCCCGGCATCGATGAGCGCGCTCATCGCACAATCGATGATCAATTCGCAGCGAGAAAAGATTTTCTGAATTTGAATTTGAACTTCACCGAAGGTCTTCGATAACACTGGTCTCAATTAGTGAGTGCACATCCTTATTACGCACATCAATTGACAAAGATGGCCATGCTTCAGTAAAACTCCTTTTCATGCACCGGCCTTTCTAATGAGTTTCACTTTCTCGCACTGCATATTCAATTAGCAAAAAATGTTCTTTTCCACACACATCCTAGTGACAACTGCGGCAANAGATGGCCATGCTTCAGTATAACTCCTTTTCATGCACCGGCCTTTCTAATGAGTTTCACTTTCTCGCACTGCATATTCAATTAGCAAAAAATGTTCTTTTCCACACACATCCTAGTGACAACTGCGGCAAAGTGTGGAAAGTGTGCACTCTAATTGCCCATTTTCTTGCATCCGTGACCACCACCACAAACAGAATAACAGTGACCAACTTCTCTTACTGTTCCTCGATGTCGGTGCATGTTTTACCGCTACAAGCGTTAGCGCGCTAATTGCCGGTGTGGACAGTGAATGGGACACACTTTTCACTTGACATTCACTGAATGAATGAATGAAAAGAAAAGTCACAGAAGTGAATGGCGGTAAGTGGTGGTGGTGGTTTTTGTGGTTGCACGCAAAGGCCTCTGAACGGAGGCTTTCGACCGGTGAACTGCTGAGTGAGTGAGTAAGTGAGTGAGTTCAGTGGAGTGAGGCGATGCAAAGACGCCGAGGCCGCCGATGGCGATCGTTTAGAGGATATGGGCCGAGAAGGCGAGAATCGAGCAGTTTGTGTGCGGACAATACAAGAAGACAACAAAACGTCGTTTGCCTGCTTTCTTTTGCTGCTCGCTGAGCTGCACAAGCAAAAAATAGACCGAAATGGAGGTCGGTGGAGAAGGGGGAAGCTGAAAACGGAGAAAAGCAAGTGCAGACAGGGCACCGATGCGGTCTGTCAGTCTGCCGTTGGGCTGGTTAGGCTCCACTGCTGACACCGACTCACAGACTGTGCTTCTCAGATGATGGTGGCCACACTTTCTCGGTGGCCCTCGACTGCAGCGCACTTCTCTTCTTCTTTTTCTTTCCTCTTTATCTTTCGTCGATCACAGCGTGTGCCTCGAGTAGAAAGTGACCGACGAAGTGCAGTGATTTCACAGTTTCACCCGAGTCTGCCGCAGCCGCAGCCGCAGCATCAAACATGCACCAAGCAGGCTGGCTACTTCTGCTCTCTTTGGTCGTCTGGTCTCGATGTGATGAACCCATGGTAATGTCACTTGCCTCCCCTGCCTTTCCCATCGAGGGTGCTCCCTACGACAGGTGGGTCATGGCCAATGGTCGAGGAGGAGGAGGAGGAGGAAGGGGTGATGATGGCGACAGTGAATCGACGATCGAGGCGCCCAGCTCTGACGACGGTGACGCCGATGATGACGGCGATGATGGCGACGGGGGTGACCCATTCGACGACTCCGACGACATTGACCAGTCCGCCTCCACTGCCTCCGTCCAGTCAGTGGGCAATCAGTCTGAGCTGAACGCCAGTCTGGCGCAGCTGCTTCGCAATCACAATTTGGAAAGTTTGAAGCGGAACTACGACCCCTCACAGCCACTCGACAGACAGAAGCTGATGGTCGCTGATCTGCTGAAAAGCATCACCGGGGGCAACGGCAGCGGAGCTTCAACTGAAGGTACTGCTGCGGTTGCAACTCCAAAGGTATGTCTTTTTGTTCGATTTTCTCCCAATCTTCTAGCACAATCTCTCTCCTCTGAAAATAGAGTGGCAAATCTTACGACATTAGCGACCTGAAGAAGTACTACGATCACATCAAAATGGACGAGTTAAATCAGCAGCAGCAGCAACAGAAGGAGAGTGCAAGCATTCAACCGGAGCAGCAGACTGCAGGGGAAGCGGACAGCAGCAGCCACTACCAGCACGCCAATCACAACTACTACGCAAAGAACGACTGGAGACCGGTGATCAGCACCGCTGACTCTCAGCACCGACCTTCTTCCTTTTCCTATTACCAGCAACAGTTTAGCGGACACGAAGTGCCCTCAGCACTGGCCAACTTCTACGTGGACACTGACACCCACCTACTGCACGCCCATGAGACGCAGCAGAACAAGGACCTGAAGGAGGTGACGACGACGACGGCGAGCACTGCCAGCGCGTCAGCCAGTAAGAGCGACCAGGGGTCGACCTCCTCCAATCTGGCCGGCACCACCGTCAAGGACCTCATCTCGACGAAGGACCCCGTGCTCAAGGAGAAGGAGAAGATTGCCAGTCTGCTGCACAAGCAGCACACCGGATATGTGCCAGTGGAGAACTCTGCTGGAGGTGGCAGCTTGGCCGGCGACAAGACGTACCAGGAGTACGTCAACTGCTGTGACCAGCTCTTCAAGAACTACGGCAACAAGGAGCACATCCACGAGGACATCTACCTGGTGCCCAAGGGCGGCGAGTTGGAGCTGCAAGGGCCGCCACATCACGGGTTTCGACCGATGATGCCGCCCGGTCCGTATCTTCGCGGCTTTCCCGGACTTGATCCAGACATGAAGCTCATTAGCGGTAACGGANGGGGCCGCCACATCACGGGTTTCGACCGATGATGCCACCCGGTCCGTATCTCCGCGGCTTTCCCGGACTTGATCCAGACATGAAGCTCATTAGCGGTAATGGCGGCGGCAAAGGTGGAGGTGGTGGTGGTGATTTTCCACCCGGCGGTCACGNAAAAGGTGGTGGTGGTGACTTTCCCCCTGGCGGTCACGTTCCAGTGCAGTGCATCGAGGACCAGCACCACTCGGGACATCTGGTGCCGGCGGCGTACCATGGTGGCCGTCACCACCCTCGGCCCTTCTACCACCACCATCACCACCCGCCGGCGGCCTTTCTGCTCAAGAAGAAGCTGGCGTTGATTGGCAAGAAGTACCTTCTCGGCATGGGCAAGAAGTGATCATCTATTGGCAATTAGTCATTTAATAATAAGCAATGTAATAAAAACAATAACTAAATATCAGTTGTAAATAGAGGAAACAGTTGCTGTTTTCGAGGGGGTCAATCTTGAAGAGGAACAGGAGAAGAGCTGGGTAGGCAATGACGAAAGAAGCAAAGAGAGGCGGAGGTAAGAAATGGAGGCGGAGGGAGCGGTAACAAAAGAAATCATAATATATGATACGGTGGCAATGCTGCGTACGATCGATGCACTGTTTGCTTGTACTGTCTGTTTGTCGGTTTTACGAGATAGGTAGTTCGACGAGGGTAGTAAGCCTAAATATTAGGCGTCTAGATGAAGATAGAAGTCTCTGGGCGTTCTTTCTGCTGCACGTAGCGCAAGTACGTCAACATTTTAATGGTGATAAAGTTGACCGCATCAATGCCGATGGAGATGTGCTCGAGAGTGCAAACGTTTTCTGGAAAAAGAGGCTTTGCATAAGATCATCTCATTTACATAAAAAGTAAAAAATGTCTACCTTGCGCTAATGAGGTTTCAAAGTAGGCCAACTGCTCAAAAAAGGTGACGGCATCCATTAGCTGCACTGGATCCTCCTGCTTGGAGAGGGTGTATCGAAACTTGTCGATAAGCTTGCCGAATGAAGGTTTAATCGCCTGCAACCGGTCAATGATGGACTGCATCTGCGACTTGTGATTGTAGTCGCCGTACAGCATTGAAGACCACTGCTCGGGCGAAATTCTCAAGCCCGCCTCCATTGCAATGGAGACAATCTGCGTGTCGTGCTCTCGCCTTAGAGACTCATAAGTTCGGTATTCCTGTTTCAATTGCATCAAACTCGAGTCGCCCTCGCGTTTGATAAGCTGCGCCGAGTGTAAATATTGTAAATGAGTCATCATCATTAAAGGCGTGTTTATCAGCAGTTTTTTTTACCTCAAAGCAGCTTGCGCGGTACAAAATCTGTATCACATGACCGATGGCCGTCTTGCTTGACTGGTACGGGTAGTGCGGACTCAAGCGTTGCATGACGAAGAGAATCAATACTTTGCGAGTTAGTGCTTCGCCGTCTTCCAGGGCGAGGAGAACCAGTCTGAATGAGGAGAAAGGGATGAGGTGAGCAAACAAGGCGTAAACACTCTTCCACTTACTTTAGAATCTCCTCTTGAATTGCAGGGCCCAAAAACTGACAACCTCGATTTCTGACAGCATTCCAAAGGCTGGATCTAAACAAATATGTGACAGCGTAAAATATTGCACAAGAGATATGTCATCAAAAAGGGGCACTTACACCATCTGCTGCGAATCGGTGTGCTTGAGCAACAATTCGCATAAGATTCGGTTCCCAATAGAAATGGCCGTACGCATTGTTTTCATGCGTTCTCTGTTGTCAGAGAGTTGACACTTTGACAGGGCAGTCAATTTACGCTTCAGCGGTGGTGAAATCAGTGCTCCTAAGTGTGAAAACAAGTGTTAGCAAAAGAAAGAACTAGCCACAACAACAACAAGCAAGCAGGTGTGCTCCAACAACATTGCTGCTACTAACCGAGATCGGGCGACTTGATCAGAGCCAGTATCAACTTGATACGCTCGGAGAAGTGGCTAAAGTGGTACCAGGAGTTCTCATCGTTCTGCTCGAGGCTGTCCACCTCAGGGGGCGGCTGCACCGTGCCTGCGTGGTCCTCCTCGGGGTTGCCCCGGTTCAGTGACAGATTATTCAGCCAGTTGATCAGGTGTTGCTGCTGTGCGTCCAGAGTGTCATTCCAATTGGAGTATCCATCCGG